GTGGAACAGTTATTTTTCGCGGGAAAAGCTTATCTAAAAATAAACTCACTTGTAAAAACGCCGTTGCACGAATTTATGGCAGTTGAACGGTCCGGGTTATGAGCTCCTGGTAAAGCGTGGTGTAAAAGAGTCTTACGCGCGCGACGGGCGTGTGAGGCGAGTTTTTTTTTTTTTAAATTATTTTTTCAGACCTTTTGTTTGACTGCTCGCGCCTACTTGAATACGCAAAAATACGGACTGTTTTGCAGACTAGCCCAAAAAGGAGAGCTTGTGCGCAGGCTACTCTCTGGGAACGAGAATAACACAACGGTTTATGACGCATAGCCCGCGCGTCAGGCGCAAAAAAAGAGGAGAGTTTCGAGCAGGGGGAGAGAAGCGCGGGAGAATGGCCTGGGGGTATGACCTGGCTCTGTGAATCCACCTCCTTTTTTGAAGAATTTTAGAAAGCAATTCGTGTCTATTTCCATGGAACGGCGGGATTATAATTGTTTAAACTTGAGTTCAAGCGATTTTCAACGTTGTTATTCCAAAAAAATTAAGCTTAAGCTTATAAGATTATCCTTTTAATATGCTGTAAGAAAGGGTTTTTTTGCTTTTTATGATAACACTTGTTTTCAGGCGGATTAGAAAAAGAATGCTAAATTAAGCATGAATTCAAAATATCTTACGAAATGAGCTAGCAAAATGTCCGTTTGCGCGAGCATTCGAAAAAAACTCTTCAGAGCGTTGTTTGTGACGAAATGCGTTTCCATAGTCATTGAAAGAAAACAATCATTTTGCTTCAGCTTTTCGAGCGTCTGTACATGCTTACTGTGCAGACCAGTTTTCGATATTTTCAAAGTGATTTTCGGAGAAAAAGACTCTCAAAAAAGAAGCAAAAACAAACAAAAAAGATTTTTAAAAAAGTCAAAGTTAATAACTAGTTGAAAAATCCTCGTTTGGCGTGGTGTGAAAATCCCCGTCAAGACAACAACGATGGCTTCGCGACTTACGGGCAGGGAGAAAAACGATGACAGTAGATTTCATTCGGCTCCCGTTCAGCAAAACTCTAAAATACCAATTAGACTGACTCGATTGACCAGTGGCGACCATAAAAGTTTCTCGTTGGAGGACAGAACGGGCATAAAAAGACCTTTGCCGAGGGATTCCGCGAAAGATCGATCATCAAGAATTCCTGTTTCTGTTGTAAAGAAAAAGAATAGTGAGGAGAAAACAGGTATTGTGGATTTCTTTTACAATTTGAATAAAAATGAGGATTTAGACAAAAAGTATATCGCCTCAACGATAAACTGTATAACACTCGTGTTAAACAAAACGAATAATTTTAAGACAAGTAAGTTTAATTTCCCAAGTTCCTTCAAGAATATGGACCGTAACACGGAGTAAAAAGTGTATGGATTAATTTACAGAAGAGATTATATTCAGGGAAGATTATAGATGAGAGAGACTAAACTGGGTTCTTGCTGAAGTGTACAAAGTCGTCCGTCATTTAGATAGATCAGTGAATAACGAGACAAAGAGAATAGAATATTGTGAGCGGCCGCTTTTTGGAAGGAGACTAAGGCGAGAGCTTAGTGGGTCTCACTAGACTGGAAAAACTGACCAGTTATGGTAACTATAGTAAAAGGTTATAACCAGTTGCAAAAGGTAATTTTAACCTAAGATAAACTAGTTAAAATCGTAACCTTTATGTTACTGGTTAGATTAGCCAATGATCAGCCGTTATTGTGACAGTTATAATTTCGTTAGATCATTGACTGGTCAAAATAACTTTTCATGACAGTCAAAATAACGAAACCAAATGGTTAAACAAATGGTAAAAATGTGCATCTAACCTGAAATCAATTGGTTAAAATCTTTAACTATTTTTTGGTCATGACTAACCAATAATGATCTGTTACTTAGAGCTATGAAGTAGGTTAAACACTGAATGTCAAAACTGACTTTCCCGAGGGGTTAAAATGAACAGAAAACCACAGAAGGAAATGGCTACACAAATGGCGGTTTGAGTTTACAACAAGAGATCATAAAAGCCTTGTACCCAACCTTCAACACAGACTTTTCCCTTACACTTAAGAAAGAACAAATAATCAGCATTTATTATGGGATTTAGGATAGGTTAAGATCGAATAGCCAAATTAACTTTCCTCAACAGTTAAAATATTTTAAATGACATGCATCCAACTCGCGTCTCGCTTCAATGACTGGGCTGGTACGTGCGCGCGAGAGGCGAAGCCGCGTGACACGAGGACTATTTTCTTCTCTGACGTTTCCCTCACTTCCCTCGACGGACTAGCCGAGAGAATTAATCGTCATCTAGATGAAATGATTCTTCAAGATGTCCTGTACAGGTTATGTCATTCAAATCAATGCTGAGCACCTCTAAAAGCTAACAGCTATTCTCGCGTGTTTTCAAAAAATAGTTTCGTGTTTTTCGCCGGTCACAAAATTCCAGCGGGTTTCCGGTATTTTTCTCAAGTGACCTAAAGTAACTCTATTTCGTCACATCACGAACCCTAAATGGCGTTAAATGTTCTCAGTAAATCAAAAATCTTACTCAGTAACCTTTTTATAAGCCTAATCTATTTCATGGTTGGAATATTATGATATCAATTAGAGTGTGCTTGTTAGAGAGTGGCCCGTTAGGGGCGGGTATGGGGATTGCAGAAGTGGGTTGGTGATCTTTTATAGAGAGATCCTTTATAGTAACAGAAGCGTAAAAGGGGCTAAAGAAGGACTGAATAATTAGACGAGAGGGGCTTCTAATACAGAGGTGCATACTAGAGAGGGCGTAACTGGAGAGTGGGGCTTCCAAGAATGAGAGGCTTATGAGAGAGAGGGAGAGAGGGGTATATTAGAGAAAGTATACTAAAGAGCGGGAGGGGCTTAGTATACAACGAGAGCCATAAAGTAGAGTTCATTATTCTTGAAAGGGTTTAAGTGAAAAGATGGGAATTAACTGAAGAAAATGAGAGTAAAAAGAAAATAAGATGACATATTGTAGCTAGATATTGAAGGAGAAATACTAGGGAGAGCTAGACTATATAAAAAAGGAAATAAGGATTACAAATAGTAATGGTCATGTTGGTGAACATCTACAC